ACGTAATTGTTCGTAGGGTGATGGTAAATAAAACGATGTCCTTAACGTGCCCAATCTTGCAACCCAATAAGATTCCAAATTGCTGCAAGAGAAAATTACAAACAATAACAACAATCGATGACGAGTATATTAATAATAATAATATTTACTGATAAAAACAATGTCCGGCGGATATAAGCCAATTTTCCGATATTAGAGTGCCACCACATTGAAATTCTCCTTCTTTATATAGAGCAGCTTGCCATGGCCATGAACCAGGGCCGGCATTACCACCACCGACGATTCTAGAACGACGACTGTTGTTATTTTTGTTAAACTTAAAATCATTTTTTTAAATTTTATTAATTATTATTATTATTATTACTGTTTCAGGTACCTGGATCTTTGACTCGTGGCCTGTGGTCTCAATCCGCATTCTAAATCAGTGCAGGTAACTTTAACAACTTGTTTATTATCGCAATTAGTTTCGTGATAGCCCAATATCGAATTTCTCGATGATTGTCCATCTTTCGATAAATCCTGATAAGAAAGTTCGTAATATTTATCATTATTATTATTATTATTATTATTATTGTTTTCCATGATTCTTCCTTCGTTTGGTATCGATATTAATTTTTCGACTTTATCGAAATCCCTATAAAAACATAAAAATCAAAGAATTTTAAACGACTTCCGGTGAGTTTGTTTGTTAAATGTTAGGAAAACTTACTTGAATGTTAAAGCTTTACAAACTGATCTTCCCAAATCTGATATTTTCCAACCTGTTTTAGATTTTTCCGATACTGTATCAAAATTATCTATACATAATTTACCCCATTTTCCATTTTTTCGTACCATTAAATAACCGGAATTATGATAAGCAAATGTATCAGCTTCCGTTTCCGTTGGTGATACCGTCACGCAATGTCTTTCATCGTCACCGTAGGGACAATCGTTTGTACCGTCGCAAACTTGACTTTTTTTTATGCACATTTTTGAATTCGAACATAGAAATTCTTCTTTGCACCATTCTTGTTTTATCCATTTAAAAAATAAATTAATACAAACGAACAAACGGGAAAACAAACAAACAAACAAACAAACAAACTTACCGCAATTATATTCGTCTGTAAAATCCCAACAATCGACAATTCCATCGCATAATTTTCTATAAAGTTTTTGTGATTTTAAATGATCTGCACACGTGCAATTTTTTTCACCGGATGCATCCGGACAATCGATGTGTTGATCGCATTTTTTATAAGGCGGTGATGACGTACATCCGGTGTAATTTCCACAATTATTACAACCTGATAAAAAAATTTTCGTCTGCTCTTCCCAATAAATAAATTATATATAAATATTATTTTTTTTTCTTAACAAAAATATTTCTCACCTAATTTATTATTATTATTATGTATCGTCGTCGTGACGTTACGATCGAACGTTGATTTACTTTTATCATCATTATTATTATTATTATTATTAATGATGGGGTTAGTCGTTGTATTGTTTTTCGTATTTTTAAAACTTGGCGCTTTGTTAAGTACTTTTGTTAATATTGGTACCCCTGCTTGATTTAATTTATAATGCGATGAAAACATCTTCGTTGGTGGTCCCCCATCCGAAACGTTTGTCGTCGTCGTCGTCGCCCTCGTTCCGCCATTAAACATCATCTCGTTACGATTAGCTGAATTTAAATTTTTTTTTAATTTTTTTTTTTTTTTTTTTTTTTTTTTTTAAATTCGTTTTCGCAATTATTCTCGTAATGACGTATTGATTATCTCGATCGATGTATCGATCGATCGATCCATCGAAAAAAAAATTATAAATTAGGCAAGGCGACCATAAAAATTAAATTTAAAAAAAAAAAAATTATAATTTATTTAATACAATTAATAAATATTTATATATGTATATAAATTTTACGCGAGTTTTATTTTGATACTCACCCCCGCCCCCAGTTTTCCCCTCGTTCTCCCCTCCCCCCATTTTATTTTACAATTAATAATATCCGTAAAATCAGAATAATTTTGATAAACCCGTTGATAATTTTCAACTGTAACGGAACGAAATTCAAAAATAAATAAATAAATTTGATTAGCCGATTTAAAATTAACTGATAAAATTTCGACCAATGAGAATAAATCATTTGAATTAAATACAATTTTACGATTGGTCGATTCAATTTTTTTATGACGTCACAACTTTAAAAGGGGTAGTAAATAAATTAGAATTCGCGAAATATAAACCCGGAAATGACGTAAATTTACGAATCGAGATTAAAATCTAAATGAATGAATGAATGAATGAATGTTCGACGCTCTCACGCACACGCACACACACACGCACACACGCATGCAATTTATTATTTTAAATTAACGAAAAGAAAAGAAATAAATAAAAATCGAGAGAGAGAAAAAGTAAATAAATAAAACGCAACAAACCGATTTCATTGCGGTTTTTATGCATCAAGGCCCCAACGGCTAAGAGAAAAAAAAAAGCGCGCGTAAAATTTTCGGGGCCCCTTTTTTCTCTCTCTCTCTTTCTCTCTTGTTTTGGTCACCAAATGTAAAATATAAACAACATATTAATCACTCACTTGTTTTATTCATAAGAGTTTGATTCACTTTAATTATTGACTGGTTTGAATCTCCCGTCGATATGGCTACGTTTTCCATTATTTTAACTATGTGCTGGACAATATCCGACGTGTTTTTCCTAACCATGTTATCCATTCTGTTTTTGTTCGTGGATGACAACGTCGACGACGACGTTTTGTTTTTCCCAATAGAATTCCTATTCCTGTTGTCTAAATTTAATAACGTTTCTATCGTGTTATATATGGGTACCGTCGTTAGATTTTCCGTGAAATTAAATTTTTCCTCCAGTTCGAAATCATCCTTTCGCTCCTCTAATTTAGGTTCGGGTGTCACTATGTATAACTTATCGTTCGTCGGCGACGATTCGGATGTCGGTTTATACGATGGATAGTATACCCAACGTTTTCCGTATTTGTCGTTAATGACGTGTTCTCTTTGTGAAGATCGGCGGCCATTTGTCGTTGTTGTTGTTTCCGCCGGTCTTTCTTCGTTTTTAAAACCCGAATTCATTTTAGAATTTCTATTTGTTATTATTAAGGTACTTCGTACGTTTGATTTAGGTCTTGGACGAAGTGGTCTCATCATGTTTACGTTTGATCTCACGGGTAAAAGAGTTATTAATTTAGGCGTTTCCGTTGTCATCGTTTCCGACGGTTTTTTAACGGGTCCCGATACGACTTCAACTTCTCCTTTTATAACGGTCGAGGGTTTAACGGTCATTATTTTTCTCCTCGTCGAATTTTCTGGTGACACTGTGCTTACTTCCACGTATATCGTATCTTCTTTTTTAAAACTCACTGTCGTTGTCGGTCTAGTACGTGCTGGAAATCTCGTCATCATTATCGTCGTTTCGTTTCCCACGTCAATTCGAGAATATACGTTTTGAACGCCAGAATTTCCCGACGATGTTTTCGACATGTCTTTAAACAAACTTTCGAGATGTTGAAATTGTTTCAATATCGGTAAATCCGGTAAATCGAGATTGAAATTTGACGACGAAGATCGAGAATTATCAATTATTTCTTCTATTTTATCTCCTTTTCCATTTTCTAAGGTCGTGTAATTTTTTCTGCTTACACTTTCGGATGTCGGAACAGGAAATTCCAAAGAAATCGGAGTAAAATGTGACGAATATTTCACATCTGAACTTTCGTAAATTTTCGAATAATTTTTTTTCTCATCTTTTTTATTGAAACTCTGCGACGGCGATTCTTCTTTATCTTCTTCTTCTTCTTCTTCCACTTCTTCCACTTTTAAAACTGCTTTTATCGTGGCAGATTTGGGTGTCGTTTGAGGTTTCGAATGTGGAACAACAACAGACGACGTAACATTTTCAACATCTCCATCATTTTTAACAACGTTTATTTCCGATTTCATTTGAGATGATTTTTTATCTATTGACACGACACCGTATTTTTCATCACTCTGTTTGTTCAGATTATAAGACGATATTATAGACATTGTTAAATTATCATTGCTTTCTCCGGTGAAACCTGTTGAAACACCTGGCGGAGCCGTTACAATTTCCGGCGGCGTTTTTTTTTTTATTTTTTCCATTTCGTCGGTTCGAGTCGCGCCTAAAAAAAAATCTTGATATTTCAAATCCGATTCACTTTCGAAATTATTTTCTTCACTTTTTTTTATCATAAAATTATTATTATTATTATTATTATTATCATTGTTATAACCCGCATATTCGGGACTTATTCTTAAATTTTCTTCGAATGAATTTTTAGAAAATGTTATCAAACTATCATCATTAACAGGTGAACTTGATAGGGGACCGTGTTGCTGTTGCTGTTGTTGGTGTGGGTGGTGGTGGTGGTGGTGTTGGTGTTGTTCGAAAACTCTCTCCGGATATTTTTCATGATAAGAATTTCTGATTCTAATGGCTTCTCGATATGGTGGTATTATAGGTTTCCACGGTTCATCAGAATAATCTCTTTTAGGAATAAATGTATTTGGTAAAACGGTCGTAGTGGTAGTGGTAGAAGCGGTAGTAGAGGCGGCGGCTGGGGTGGTGGTGGTGGTTGTCGATGTCGTTGTGCTCGCAGTTGAGTAATTAGGTCGAGCATGTCCGTTTCGAAATTGTTCGACAAACGCATCGCCTGTTTCCTCCACTAGTAAAAACTCTTCGTCACTTTCTTCCTTTTCATTATTCGACGATTCTTTTTCCACGATTTCGATACCTTTCGACACGACGACGGGTTTAACATCTTCTTCCTCGCCATTTAAACCTTCAGTATTCGAAATGGAATCCGTTGACGGGTAACCAATCGTTGTCGTTTCATCAATTTTTTGTCCATTTTTAACTCCTTCGTTAAACTTTTGCATTGTTTTTGATATTCCCAATATGGCTCCCGATGGTATACGTTTCGAATCCTTTTTTTCAATTGTTTTTTTCGTTGTCGTTCCTAATATTTTTGCCGAATTTCTAATTATCGGTTGTTGTTGTTGTTGTTTATTACTAGATTTATATTCTTTTAATGAATACTGCGTGTTGGCACGAGCATTTTCTTTGGAGTCATCGTAATCGTTCACTTGACGCCTTTCCATTGAATAACCTTTAAAAAAAAAAAAAAAAAACACGTAACGGATATTATTATTATTATTATTATTTCGGCGAGCGTGAAAACATTTTTGTTTTTTATTTCGTCATAAGATAAAAACTAATAAATGATATCGAGGCCGTTGATAAATTTCTACAAAAAAACAACGGAAAATTATTATTATTATTTTTTACTGTAATGTTCTTTCGTATACAAGTCACGTTCGATGGTAAATAATAACGTTACGTACGTTTTTTTTTTTAACGGTTTTAACGACTAAAAAGAAAAAGAAGAAGAAGATCGTACGCGAAAAAATCATACTACGCTAATGGATAGAAAAAAATGTTTGTTTGTTTGTTTGTTGTTTGTTTACCTCCTATGTAAAATGCTAAACCTCCTATTGCAATAACCGATAAAGCAACCACTAAAACGGCTCCTATTAAAAATATTCCGCAAAGTCTTCCTTTTCTTGGCTTTGGATAATCGTGACTATTGCTAAACGTCCATGATGAATTTGAACTTGTCGATATGCCGTGAGGATGAAGTCTGTCGTCGTACACCTGGAAAAAATAAAATATTACGTCATTATTACGTCACAAAAATCTCAAAACCGATTCGAATTCAGCATCTGAATGATGATGATGATGATGATTTATTTCCATTTCGTGAGATATAATTACCCGTAACGTTTCCCTCCCCCCTTGTTTAATTTATTTTAACGTGGAAATAGACGACACAAGAAAATTTATAAAAACAAATTTATTATTGTCTCTTTACACGAGTGAGAAAAAAAAATCACATTTTTAAAAAAGTTCGTTACGTCTTTGTCATCGTGAGTCTATCGCCACGTCAAATTTTATTTATTCGCACGTCGTTTTTAACGTTTCGAAAACTTCCACAGGGGGACAAAAAAATTTAATTTGACGTATTTTTATTTATTATAACGGTTACATCGATATATTTATTATCATTATCATTACCATTATTATTATCATTATTATTTAATAACTGTATAAAGTATTTCACTTACGAAATAGTTTCGTTTGGTCGGTCAACTTTGACCACAAGAATTGTTTAAGTGTTTTTCTCTCTCTCTCTCTCTCTCGTTATTATTTAAATGAATAATCAACCTTCGATTAACCAACGGTACCTCCTACCTGACCTTACCACTCTACACAATTTATCAATTATTAATATCATTATTATTATTATTATGTGACCTGATTATAAACCGTAACGAAAACGTAAATAAATAAATAAATAAATTTTTTTTTTTTTTATCAATTCACGAAAACAAACGAAAGTTCAATTTGTGTGTTTGTTAACAACAAACGGGGGGAAAAACAAAATTGTCGTCGTTTGTTCTCGTTTGTCGTCCTCGTCGCCGTCGCCGAATAGAATAAAAAAGAAAAAAATTTTTTTTTCTCGAAATCATTAAATCCACGTTAACCCGCATTCAACAACGATTTTTCATACGATAATAATAATAATAATCGAACGTTTGACACACATTAAATCCCTTCTTCGCATTTTCCGAAAAAAAAAATTAATTTTTTAATAATTAAGCAGAAGACAAAACAATATTATGTAAAAAAAAAAAAATTGTTTATAAAATTAACGTTATAACGTCCCACGTAAACCCCCTCCACTCCCCACCCCCTTCCCGGGGATTATCATCCTTTCTATGATGGATTAACGGATTAACTTTTCCCGTCGCGGATTAAGAGGTGTTAGTGGTAGTAGTAGTAGAGGGTAAGCGGGGGGAAGAGAGAGAGAGAAAAAGAGTGTTAAAAAATTACTCGAGTAATTAATTAATTCGGAAAACTCGTTTAACGTTTAATTATTATCATCATCATCATCATTATTATTATTATTATTATTTAATAAAATTTTTCTTGTTTGAAACAGTTATTCGGACTAATTTATTCGTTATTCTCGGTTAAAAAACCTTTTTTTTCCTTTTGTTACTAATAATAATAATAATTATTATTATTATTATTAATAACTTTTATTTATTTATTTATTTAAAAAAAAAATAAACTAACGGAATCGAAATTGTGTGAAATTTATTTTTAATTAAATTACGAGTGCGAAATAATTAAAATTAAAATTCAATTCTCCTGCCACTTTAATTTCAAATTAAATTTTTTGTCAAATTGCAAGGTTGCCAAATTAACAAAAAAAAAAAAAAAAACAAATTTATTCGTTCGTAATGCGACGTAAAATATTAATCGTAAATTTTTTTTTTTTTTAACTTTAAATCGTTAAACGTAAGATAAATTATGAGGAGTCATTTTTAGCCCCCCCCCTTCCTCCCTTTCGTTCCCTTCCCGCCCCCTTTTTTGTCGGTTAACTAACAAACGACCAATTATAAAATTTTAAACGGTTCCCCCTCTTTTCCCCTCCTCCTCCTCCACTTTCAACTCCTCCCCCTCCAAATTCGAATCTTTTTTTTTTATTTACGCGAAAAAAGTTTTTAATTTTCTTATTAAAATTATAATCGGACTAAAACAACAACAACAACAACAAGAACAATTTCACGCTTCGCGCCGCCGCCGTTTGTTTCAACAAACGATAAATAAATTAAAGTAAATTTTATTCTCCGGTTAATCATTTTGCTCCGAATAACATCTTAAGTGTTTTTTAATCGGTGAATTTTTTTTAACGTTCCAGAATTCCAGAGAAGATTTTTGTCGGATCGGTGTCACGCAACGTCGTGTCATAGTTTTCTTTTTCCGGTTTTCTTCTACCACGATGAAAATTCAAACATTCATCCAGTCTACTGTTTCCTCTCCAGTCCGCATTTTCTCCCTTTGAAAAAATATTCGTCGGATATATCGAACGACCGGAAACGGTGCCTCATTTCGATTTACAAAACGAAAATTTTCATAGTCATCCACTTCTCAACCTTTTTTTCTTCTTATTAATACCGATCAATTAATAAAATTTATGATTTTCATCTTTCGCAATCCTTCGACGTGATAATAATAATAATAATTATTATTATTATTATTATTATAAAATTCATTTTTATTAAATCCGGTGATTAAGCGTTAAAATAACAACATAAAACACGTTTTTTTACGATCTTCGCCATTTTGACTTTTTTTTTTGTTTAATATGACTATTAAATAAATACGGAAATTAATAAAAGCACACGCATGCACTCACGCACTAACGCACTAACACACGCATTATGCATTATATAAATACGCACGGATAGACAAACGTTTTAAAGAACAAAAACAAAAAACAAAAAAAAAAAAAAACCGTTAATTCAAATGCAACAAACGCCGCGATAAAAAAAAAAAAAAAAAAAAATTATGTTAAACCGCGCATACCTGAGCTTCCATTAGATTTTGTCACATGCACCACGTTGTGACCTCTTAACAAAAAAAAAAAAAAGACATAATTTCTTTCTTCTTTCTTTATTTTCGTTGAGACAAAAGAGAGAGAGAGAGAGAGAGAGAGAGAGAGATAGAGAGAACCGCTTTTTATTATTATTATTTACGTGACTTCCGATGTTGTACCTTAAATTATTTCACGACGTGAATCCGTTTTTTTTTTTTTTTTTTTTTTTTTCATTTTTAAATATAATGAGAAGTATAATAAAAAAAAAATTTTAAAAATGGCTCCTCGTTGCAGACGATGATATATTAATATGGCTTTTTAAAAACCCGACGAGTCAGACGAGTTTGAAAAAAAAAAAAAAAAAAAAAAAGATGTTCGATGGATTTGAAAAAATTCTTCTTTAACACCGACCATTAAATAAATTTCAAGTTTGATCTGTTCATCTTCTTCTTCTTTGGCTCCTTCTCCAGCCTCTTCATCATCATCATCATCATCATCATCATCATCATCATCTCCAGCTTCTTCTTCTTCTTCTTTAGCTCCTTCTTCATCATGATCTTCTTCTTCTTCTTCTGCTCCTTCTTCATCATCTTCTTCTTCAGCCTCTTCATCATCATCATCTCCAGCTCCTTCTTCATCACATCATCTTCTTCCACTTCTTCCTCTTATTGATCTTCAACTTCTTCTTCAGCTCCTTCTTCACCTTCAAATCCTTATTCATTTTCATTCTTCATATCGTTTGTCTTTTTCTACTCACTTTAATCCCTCCCTTCCACCACCACAACGTGACACCATCACAAAAAACGTTTAAAACGGTAAACAATAACAAAAAAAAAAAAAAATTTCAACTTAATGTCGTCTTCGTCCTCTTCAATTTATTGTTTAAACCAAAAAAAAAAAATGTGAGAATTTTTAATATTAACGGTAACACTATCCTTTTTTTCCTTATATTTTACTACAATTGTAATTAATTTTTTTTGTTTGTTCGTTTGTTTGTTTGTTTTGTCATTAAAAAAAAAATTGTGTTCATATTTTATAAAACTTAAAGCTTAAACGAACTTTAAAGTATTTGTTCCTTTAATTCAGTGTATCGCTTAGGTATTCTCACACCGGAAATTAATTTTTCTCTTTGTATAACCTTTGACCTTTTAAAAATGATACGAATCCTCACAATACGACTTTTTTTTTATCGAATTCCATTCTCACCGGAAATGATTTTATTAATTTTTTTTTTACCCTTAAGGGGTACACATACTACTACAGCAACTACTACTACTACTACTAATAATAATAATAATAATAATAATAATAATAATAATAATAATAATGATAATAATAATAATGAAATAATGATAATTCTTCAAAGTTATTAATTATCATTATCATTATTATTATTTTATTTTCGCAAAAATTTTTGACGGTTACATTTTGCACGCATTAAAATGACGTCGCATTTCACGCATTTAAAAAAAAAAAAAAACGTTAAATGGCAACAAGACGAATCGTCGTTAATTGACGTCACTCGTAACGAAAATTTCATTTAATGGTAGCAAATTTAAAAATAAAAAAAATTTTTTAACGTTAAAACGAAACGAAATACGCCATTTTGTTCAATTTAAAAAGAAATAAATAAATAAACACGACGACGATGGTAATAATAATAATAATGATGATGATGATGATGATGATAAAAGAAAATTATTTAATTCGAATAAAAATATTCAAAAAGAATTTGTATTAATATTAAAAACGACACTCATTACGTCATCATCGACATTTTTGTTGTTGTTGTATAGGTAGGTACTCGTTGAGTAAGTTTTAAAAAATTTTTACAAGTTTTAAATGAATTCGTCGATGAGGTTAACGAACGAATGAAACAAGAACAATAATAATAATAATAATACTAATAAATAAAAAAATTAATTAATAATTCTAATTAAAATTTTTTCTTTGCCTTGCCAATGGGTATTTAAATGTTAATGCCCTTGACCACCATATGTATCATGACCACCAATCAATCGTCCATGTCCATTATTAACTTTCTTTATTATTATTATTATTATTATTATTATTATTATTACTATTATTATTATTATTATTATTATTATTATTATTATTATTATTATTATTATTATTTATGTTGCATGGCTTCCCTTCCCCCACCATTTTTTTTTAAAAAAGAAATAGGAGGTTTATTCGTAAAATTTATTATTATTATTCATAGAAAAATTATTAACGCATATTTAAATAATTAGTTTTTTTTTTTTAAAAAACGTTTTTAATTACTCTATGATTTAATTACGGTTAATTT